CCGATGATGTTTTATCACGGGTCGGACAAAAAGAGGCAGAAGGACCAAGCTAGCAAGGTTGCGTTTACACTGCATTTTTTGGGGGACCGGAACAATTTCCTGCGTGATGCATGAAATAGGTCCGGACCCGTGTTTTTTTTTTCTGGTTTTGGGGCCATAAACGTTTATGGCCCCGAAAAACACGAATCCGTGCCCATCCCCTAAACATGATTCGGATTGTTTACACGGGCAAAAATGTGAGGTCCGTACTCCTTTTTTGACACGTCCGTACCCGATTTTTCTTCCGTGTAAACGGCCTTTTTCAGTTTCATGGTAGCCATCGAGCGATTTTGCGTTTCTTCTTGTTAAGTTCTCTTGATGGGGCTTCTTCTATGAGTGTGAGTATATCCCTTGGATCATATGCCATAGTTTAACCTCAGATGTTCGTTTTATAAATGTTGTAGAATCCGTAATTGTAAGAAGGCAATCCAGAATGTTCTTTTCCTCAAGACTCACTACACTGGAAGTGACGTCGTTGCCAATATCCTGAATCGCTTTGCCGACTTACGGAGCCTACGCATTGCCCTCCCTAGCGGAGGACTGTCGACATTTTTTTGGCCTTCAAGATTACACTGGAAATATGTGGACATCTTGTTACTGGACGGAACCCTACCTAACATACTTTGCAAGCACGCGCGTTTTAATGGTGACGTTATGGATGAAATTATGCAACCGCAGACAGCCTTCATTACTATATTACGTGACCCGGTGTCTCATTTTGAGGTGACGTTTCGAAACTTGGATTTCCAGGAAATCCTAGAAATGGAAGATCAATCATATCCTTTTCTGAAATTTTTGGAAAATCCTCGAAAATACATAGGAAGAGCCATTCAACGCAAGAGTTTCAAGGTAAACTTTCGTTCATAATAGCTTACGATGTTGTCTCCCTGGCGAGTTTTATTTCCTACGATGTTCTTGATGTCTGGCTCACATACGATCAGCCAGATGTTATAAAGTGATTCAACGATAAAGGGTCATTTTCAAAGTGTCCCCATCTCCTGACTTATATGTCAGACATATGCCATTAGGTTCCAATGGCATACTCTGATGGGCTAATCGAAAATATTAGTCGCAACTTGAATGTGAGTCCATCAGAGCCCGTTCGTCGGATGGATTTACCAAGTCTAGTGGTGGAAAAAAAAAGAACACAAGTGTGCAAGGCAAACAAGTGCACTACACAATTCAATGTACTTATTTTCGTCACGAACCATGACAGCCTGCTATAAGTGCGCAGCACGTTAACAAGCACATGTTGCATGAGCTCTTTACTTAAGCCTCAAAGCAAAACGACGCACTAGTAGCGCGCAAGACAAACTGACTAACACACATATTTAACCTTGTTATTGCAACCATGAGGAGAGACAGTCCGTTACAATCGTGCGACACAGACAAGCGCCATATAAATGTAAAAAACTTCATCTACTAAGCCACGAGGACTCTGATAACCGTCCTGAACTTAAGCAGGATTCACAGGATCTGTAGAGTTTTTCCGGGAAACCGGGATTTGACCCAAGTACGGTGCGAGATGTGAGAAGACAACAAGCATAATAACTTAATGGCATTTGGGAAATGACTGCTTTCCATGAAGCAGGACTCCCCAAAATCTGGGTTCGTAGTGACAGATTATTTCGCTTTTTCATCGGGAAACGAGAAACCGTCATGACCTACTAAAAGATATTTATTATTTTCATTTTCTTTAGTTCACAAATGTTACGTTTAGTTTTGATGTTTTAGCTTTTGTCTTAAAATCCATTCTGACTTATGCTGTTTTGCAGGATTCTCTGAATCTTATCAAAAATGGGATGTTCTTCGACCTTGGACTTCGAACCACGGATTATCACAAACCAGAGATGGTCCGAGACGCGATATTAGATATTGACGACAAATTTACTCTGGTACTTATCTATGAATATTTGGACGAGTCACTGGTGATGCTGAAGAGAAAATTATGCTGGGAGTTAGATGATGTTGTCTACCTTAAGTTTCATTATCAACTCCATGGTGAAAGCACACATCAGAATATCAGTGGTAAGATTACTGAACAAATTTACCGCTGGAACAATGCAGACACGATGTTGTATCAATACTTTAATGACACACTGTGGAACGAGATTCGTCTGGAAGGAAAAGAGTTTTATGAGGAAGTCCGCGACTTTAGGACTAAACACGAAGAAATGGAACGTGATTGTTTGGGAAAGTCTTTAAATTTAGAAAACATACAGTTGAACCAGGCAGTTCCGTCGCTAAATCGATACCTGTGCGAGAAGATGCTCTATAGAGATATAGAATATTTGCATTATTTCCGAAGGAAGATGAAAAATAACAAAAGACGAACACCAACCAATAGTATTGGCTCGGCAAACGGGACAAGTGCAGTCTTACTACAAGGAAGTGCAGTAAAAACCCTCGCACAAAGAAACGAGACAGACACAGGTTTAGTTTCAAAACGATAAGAACTTAAGACACTAATGACGCTGTATATAGTGCATTTACACTTCAGGGACAACTGTATTAGTTTCGAGGAGAGAAAAATGCCCCAAGATAACTAATACCGCTTAACCCACTCTTGACCAAATGTTTGTTGATTAAAATCAAAATTTTAAAACACTGACTATTCGTGCCAGATGTACTTCACTGCGCCGTTGTTGTCATTGCTGTGGTTGCTAATACATAAATCCCAAACTAAAAAGTGATTTTTCGACCACCCATTTTTTCGAAAATAACCATTATTCAATCAAGAGTCGTTTCTTGGAATGCGCTTCAGACAGACTCTGCAATTTTTACCCCCTCCTGACATTTAAATCCGATTCCTCTTCCTTTGAAACATTTAACCACGATTTCTCGATATTTCAAAATTCAGGAACCAACACTAACCGCTGTTAGTTATCAGCACTCCTTGAAGAAAGTAACAAGTTAAGGGCAAAACGTAAAGGCAAAACGTTGAAAGAAAATTTTCTTCACAAACAAAATGACAAATCTTCCAGATAAAGCTCCAGAAAATTTCAAGTGATAATGTTTAATGACACTACGACTTTAGAGTTCATATAAACCTTTAGTTCAATGATAGGCGGACGCAAGTTAATTTATAGTTGTGGGACGGAACAAAACGACTTTTAAAAAACACTGGAGCAATAAGCTCTCAGTCTTCTAAAGGTGGTGGTTCGTCAAAGTGCAAAAAGTGTTGTCTCATTTCCTTCATTCTGCTGCGGCTGATCTTGTACACTGGCTGGAGCCAGCTCTAACCGACGGTGTTCAGCACCATCGCTTAGCGCCGCGCTGCTAATTCGCATGAGTGCTTTACTATTGACAAGGGTGTTATCAAAAGTTAGTTGCTCACTGGTGCTATCTTGACCAGTATAGCTTAACTTTAACTGTTCTGGTGCAATCGTTGTAAGTTCTGTTGTATCTGTCGAAGCTACGTCTTCTCCTACACGTCCTTCTAAGTTATCACTACTCAGGGAGAAGTCCTCGGGTTGTACAGTAGGCCTTGGTTCTTGATCTACCTGTGCATTTTCTGAGTCCTTCTGGTGCATAATGTCTATAGGTACCTCCAAATGTTCATTTTCCGTTATCTGTGTTATCACACCCTGTAATTTTTCCGTTCTCTCTTCACGAGTCCCCTGTCCTGAGGCTACGCTATGCAGGACTCCTTGGTACAATTCATCGTCTGTTACAGACCGAACATCCGTCGGTATCTCTCCATATTGGCAATTTTTCTCTTGTTTTCCTTGTCTCATTTCTTGGCCTGAAAGCTTGGCTAGCCTTCTTTCGTGGACTTTCAAGTGAGCTTTGACCGAGTTTGGCTGGGTAAACCCTTTTCCGCACAACTCACACTTGAACGGCTTCTCTCCAGTGTGAATGACCTCGTGCCTGTTTCGGTGTGAGATCATTGTGAAACACTTGTCACAATGAGAACACTTATAGGGCCGCTCACCTGTGTGACTCCGGAGGTGGCTGATGATATCTGAGCTCCGTTTAAAACCTTTGCCACACTGAGGGCAAGGGTAAGGCTTTTCACCAGTGTGTGTTCGCATGTGAGTACGCAGATTTGCACTTAGCGTGAAACCTCTGTCGCATATGGAACACTTGTGCTTCTTCTCCAGTGGTTCCCCAGAATGTTTGCGCACATGAAGTGTAAGCTTCCCCTTTTCCACAAACCTCTTGCCACATTCTTCGCATCAGAACGGCTTCTCTCCACTATGCACGCGTAAATGTCTCTTTAGGGAAGACAACTGGGAGAGACGCTTATCACAAAAAGAACAAACAAATTCCTTAATTTCCGAGTGACTTCGCATATGGTAGTTTAGCTGAGACTTCCACTTGAAGTTTCTGCAGCATTGCTCACAGGTGAATATGGGCTTATCTGCAAGCGCGGTCCTTTTCCTTTTCTTCTCCGCACCTCCAGTTGAATCCCCGTCCACTTCACTTGGTCTTTTCCGAGATGAGGAAGATTTTGAATTGTTTAGTTCTTTTCCTGCTTCTTGAGACTTTGACTTCTTCGCTGATTCATTTATTTCATTTCTCGAAGATTCTTCCGTCACCATTATGTCCTCATCAGCATCACTGTGACTTCTCGTGCAATTAGCAGACATGTCTCTTTTCGCTTTCGAGTTTCTGGCGTTTTTCTGGACTTGGGAGTTATCTGATCCTGACGAAGCTTCCTTGCTTTCTTCTACTCCTCCAAGGCGGGACGCTGAAGTACTTTTGGCCCTAGAGGAAGTTCGCTCAGATGACAGAGATTTCTTACCAGACGATGTACTTCGCGCTTTTTTAGTATCTGAGGAAACTTTTTTCCGAGCCTCCGATACATTTGATTTCCCCGAATTTTCCTTTGCTTTTCTCGTTTTCTGTGCGTGGGGATTTCTTGTGGTTGCGACTTTTGTTGTTCCCGCCTGCTTCACTTGTTTTAATCCTCTTCGTTTTGAAGTTCGCGAGCTGGATGCAGGGTCCAACTGGAGCACACGGACATAACGTGAACCCTCCTCGACCACCGTACTGTTGGTTCCGTTGATTGTGGTCCCAATGTCGACAATATACAACGACTCTGCATCAACAGGCGATGTACCATCCTCGTTATTAGTATTCTTAACGACAGATGATTGCGCGGGCTCACGCTCTATAGCTATCTGGTCATGCGCAGTTTTTACCTCATCAGGCGATAGGTCTGGACAGCGAACTGCCTTATGACGTCGAAGAAAGGTTGACCCAGCAAACACCAACCCACAAATATCACACTTATAATCATGACCTGGCAGAGAAGAATAAACAAAAAATTGAAATGAAAAATAATTCGGAACACCGTTTTCATTCAGAAGTGTTGCGAACTAAAAAAATTACGAAGAAAGAAAAAACAAAGAAAGATGAAGAGGAAGAGGAGAGAGACATAGAGAGTACTAGTGATGGTTAAAACCAAANTCTCGTTCGGTTAATATGAACTAAGTACTTTTACGAGTTGTGCCGTATTTTGACTCGCCCCACGGGCTCGTCAAAATACGGCACAACTCGTAAAAATACTCAGCGATACTACACAACAAAACGTCTAATAAGAGATTTATTACCCAACATGCCAAACTGTTATTTCAGTACAAATATCGCGTGATATTTGTACTCGTCTGGCGCGTTAATCGTACTCTACGAAGCACGATTGGATAATAATACAACGTACTGCCCCACTATGACCTCAATTTGAAGTCTATGTAAAGGCCATTAAGCCACTGGAAGCTACACCGTGAATGTGGAGGACTTAAAGAAAAAGGGTGACGTCACCATTAACAAAATTTTGCCTTTTTATCCTGTAAAACAAATAGATTCCATGTTTCCGTGGTTAAGTACAGTAAGAGATCACGGAAAAGGCCTTTATCAATATGCCAGAGAGCACTTAACAGACAAAAAAGGAGAGACCTTGTGGTAAACAACAAGCCATCTCTAATGGCGGGATGAACACACTTTCCAACATCCGGGAATCTCTAAATAAGGGGTTTGAGAAATTAGGGCATGTCACGCAACATGTCACAACGTCCAAATGTGGTAAGAACATCAGTGACACTCTCAGCTGAGCCTCATGTGCCACTTCTTTGTTCTTATCACATTTTGATGTCATCTGTGCTGTATTCCTGAATAGATGCCCAGCAACATGGAATGTATTTGTTTCATATACTTTTTCAAACTTATATCAAACACAATGATCAAATACATCCATGAAAACATTTTACTCACCATCCTTCTGGGTTAAGCTGTCACCCTTCACTGAAAAACTGTCTCCATACCACACCAACAGCTCGGTACCAGACTCAACATGGCTGCATGTCTTGTAGTAGATCTCACCACAGAACTGCACTACCTCTAAGTTCTGTTCTTTGCTTTCACGTGCACAGTTGACAAACCTCATCCAGTTGCTGTTCTGTTCATCTGATCCATCAATTATGTGACTGACTTTTCCACCTTCTAGTATCTAGGAGATGATTTCTAACAATCAGGTTTAATAGGTTTCCTAGTTTTGTTTAGATATTTGTATGGAAGAAGCAGCATGACCAGATGCTTCTGAGTCCTGCTCCTGTTTCTGTTCTAAGGTTTGGCAGTGCTATCTCCTGGCTAAATTACAACTCTGTCAGTAGGTATTCAAAACCCAGTTGTAATTAGACACAATTGCAAAAGAGTTGATCCATATAAGTATATCAGGTCTACCCTTCGAACACTGAGATATGCACAGTGTTAATATTAAAACAATGAGTACCAGGTTCAATGTTACCCTTGTAACTAATGGTATTCACCTTAGTTAGAAGAGTATGACTTTTTTTCTGTTGAAGTGGCATAAGTTTCAAGCGGTTACAGGTTCACAAAGTGTTTACCCGAACAAAAATGGTTACATGTATACATGTACCTCTGCTCCTGTAGGTAGGAGTTGATCACAAAGAGCCACGGGTAAGGAGGATGGTGCCATTTTGAGTGCAGTTATGAAAAACTTGGAAATAATATAATAGTTTCCACTTCAAATGCTCCTATCATGAGCTTGATAGGGCAGAAATATGACTGAGGCAGACTGTGGTTATGTGTTTCTTAAATTTATTTTTTCCCTGCTGCCCCACACACTACTGGAGAAAAATGTAATTTTTCTCTCCCTCTGGCCTTGGTTGCTAGATTAATGGATGCTGTTATCCATAAAATGAACAGCCATTCAGCTGATACAGTGGAGGAGTTTATGAAGATGTTTAAATTCTTAAGAAGTCCAATGCATCCTTCAGCCGTTAAAGAATTAGCGTCTGTTTTGTTTGTTGATCAGAGTCAAGTCATTGGATGGGTGGGTATGGAATAGACATTGGTATCCAGAAAGTACATTTAGGTGCCCATCAATGAAAGTAACTGCTCTATCAAACAGCTTGCTTTTTTAACCCCCAAACAGATTTATATATCCTCTCCAAATGTTGGGGCCAGGAGATACATGGATAGTGCAGAGTTACATGTACAAGTGATAAACTTGTCAGAAGGAATTTCCATAGTTTTATGGAAATTTTACCCAGGTAAGAAAGGATGCTAGTGATTAAAATCTCATAAATGGCCATAAATATTTTTTTCTCATACAAACAACCTAACTTTAGCCAATCCCTATATATACATGTTAAGTAAGAGGTAGTTGAACAATAAAATGACAATATTTTTAGTGCATACTTACATCCCACATATATTTAAAATTGTGGTCTTCTCCTAGAGCAACCTCTTTGGCAGGAATCTTCTGTCCTCTAAAGGGTCCAAACATCACTCGTTTCTCAATCCTTGCCTTTGTAAACACACCCAGCTGGCCCTGCCACGCTGCAGACGGCATGATGTTCAGATTGTTAGGGAGGGTTAGCTTTGCTTGATCACTTTGAGGTGTTTCATTTGACAGCTGGTTCTCATCACACCATTCCAATGGACCATGATCAGGACAATCACCACAAATAAATTGTTTCCCACAATCATCACAAACTAAAAGACAAATGAAACAAATATATTTTCAGGTATCTCAATACAGTGTTGATCTGCTTTTCCAGTAACTTATACACTGTATAACTGATAGCAGTGGTCTAGGATGTATCTGACAGTCTTTCCTGAGCAAAATCATGCAAACTAATTGCTACCTGCATAATTTAACATGTTCAGAAAGCAATCTGGCCTTGTACAACATTAAAATTGATATGTTGTTAAGATTTGATTACAAAATATATGTTTAAAGTCATGTCCATCTAATTTCAATATTCATTGACTTTCTCTTTTGAACTCTGTTGCAAAATTCCTTTTGAAATAAGATTAGTGTTTATTTTCTTAACTCTTTCAATCCCAAGATCTCATTAGTAATTTTACTTCTCTTCCTGCCATGCAATTCTTAGGATGTTATTTCAGAGAGTTTGGTGGATATTGGAATTTGATATTGTAAGGAGAAATTCTTTCTTGGTCACTCATGGGAGTTTAAGGATTAATGGTCACAACCTTCTCACACTTAATTTTTCAATCAGTCACCAATATCATGGGAACTATCAGTACAGACCTGGGCCCAGATGTTCAAAGGCCAATCATTGGTAGCCCAGGATTAAGTTTTAATCTGTGGTTCTTTATCCTCTTCTTCTGAAGCCTTTTTTATATGACTTTCTTTAATTATTTTTTAGAAACCATACAAGCATCAAATTGTTGGCGAAAAAAATATTTTTTAAAGCTTTCAGATCTGACTTCAGATTTCACACTAACTCTGGGTTATATTAACCCAGCTTAGAACAACCAATGATTAACTTTGAAAATTGGCCGCCAACTAGAAAGCCTTTGCTACTTTGGCCACCACACACATTTTTATAATCTGTACTTTATTTATTTTATTCTGTAATCATTTGTTGCAACTTTACTTTTCTATCTATGTTAATTTTATGTAAATAGTGTGAAATAAATGAACCAACTGTACATGTACTGCCATGGCTTATTGGATATTACTTGTATTCAAAACTCACCAATACAGTCATCGTTCTGTCTAAACTCCATGGCTCTTCTATTTGAGAAGATGTTTCTAAAAAGTGAAGTGATAGAAAACTAAAATGAAATCACATTTGTGTGATAAACAAGATCCATCTGACAGTCTAGGTATATAAAAACACCACATAGGCAAAGCTGTGAAAAGAGCTTTTGCAATGACGATGACATCAACTTTCTCCTGTGGGCTTTGTTGAACAAATTCTTGATTCATGTAATTGAAAATTTTTGTGAGTTTTGAGCAAGTAGTCATAAAAGTGCTTTTCACTGCCTACATGTAACTATCAACTATCACATCTAGCATAGCATCAACCCTTAAGTCAACACCACACACTAACCATGAAAACATGCAAGAATAATGAATTGTAGATATTGTCACATACATCATAGAATATAGCATGTTAAGTCTGTCTATATGGTATTTATGCACAAGTTGGAAGTGTTTGAAGTAAAAAAGGATAAGCATGACAATTGAGTGGAATTTCTGATACTAAATGACCAGTGCATAAATACGAAATGGACTGGAATTTCTGATACAAAATGATCAGTACATAAATACCAAATGGACTGACTTTCTATGGTGAATTATGTTCATTATGTAGCTACAGAGATTCAATTACTGTTAATTTATTATTTAACACTTCCAATTCAAAGGTTCATATATTGATCATGATAGATATAAGCCATATAAAATGCTTTGCCTACAGAAATGATGCAACACTATAGACAGCAATAACTCTCAATATTTGAAATACTTTGGCATTAGGTTATGATTAATGCATGAAAAAACATG